GAACCGCGTGTGTCATAAAATGTAATGCCCTGTAGCAGAGATATAAATTTTGTAAAAGACACAAACACAAAGGGTTTTTTTTTTACTTAAAATAAAAACATGCTGAAAACACTAGCACTCTTGCAATATTTTCTTTATTTAACAGTGTCTGATTACTGACGCCTCTTGGTCTGAATTATTGCATCAAAATGCCTGTGCTGTTGCAATCTTGAGTCTGTTGTTCAGGTGTGTATCTGTAAGCCGCAAACCTATGATGACGCAGCAGTGGCAGAACCGGAAGAAGAAGCAGAAGACAGCCAGTTCCACTGCGGGCCTGAGAGAAGCCCTCCCGGGGGGGGGGGCCTAATCCGGCCCCCGGGCCGCATGTTTGACACCCCTGCTCTAGCCCACAACGCTTCTTCTATAGCTGAAGCCCTATCATGCCTTGCCAGGACTGGAAGTGCCGCTAAATCTGGTTAGAAGGCAGAAGCAGAAGTTAATGCCAGCCTCGCTTGCCACTGTGGTGCATTTCTGCATCACGAGAGAAAGCCACCCCTTGTTGCTAGCCTCAGGATACTCAAGCAGCCCAATCCACACTGATGTGCCCATATAAGAGTTAAAAGAGGAGAAAAGCACAAGGAGAGAGAGAGAGAGAGCTTTGAGTCATGCTTGTATGTCACAGACTGAGTCAGAGATTTACTCTGACCATGAAGAAGCAAATCCACAGCACGGTTTTCAGAGCTGGGAGGTGGCAAGTAATAAGCAAGGGTGGGGGTTCCACCCCCCCCCCTTGACAATGAGCTTGAAGGCTGAACACCAGAGCTACCCCACCAGCACATTAAGGCATTATGCTGTGGTGATTAAGCCTTTCGCTGGGGACTGAAAAGGCAAAGAACCGCAGAACATTTCCTCATTCAGAAACGGCAGCCCCGCTGGGAGAGGGAATGCGCATATATACAAATATAATTATACAGAAAAGAAGTCTGATTCATAGGAGCGGCACCGGGACAGGAGACCTGCGGCACTCTTTTTGCTTGTCTTGCACTCTCAAAAGCAACTCGACAGTCCACATCATCGGTCGGAAAGAAACTTCCAGTCGTCACTGTCAGTCAAACACAGGTGATCTCGGAAATGTCCTGGGGTTTCTGCTCAGCGATAGCAACTCAGCTGTAACCTCCACAGCTGCTCACCAGACAAGACCTGGGAAGTTGTTCCACTCAGTGTTTTGTCACAGAGGAAGTGCATTGAGATACTGCATAGGCTCGCAACATTTCCTAGAGCAAACTTCAGCGGGAGGGGGGGGATTTCCCATATTAAATTTGGTGTGAGTTATGTGTCTCAGGCCAAGGAAGGAATGGGGGCTGCGTGGAAGGAGAAGAGGGTCCTGTAATGTTGCCTGTTACTCTTGCTTGTGAGAGGGATATTGAGTTTCACCTGGATCGGAGTGGGGTTTCCTGGTGCTTTTTGCAGTGAAGGCGTTTTTCTCTGATTGTGAAGAAGAAGAAGAGGAGATTGGATTTATCCCCCGCCCTTCACGACCCAAAGGAGTCTCAGAGTGGCTTACAAACTCCTTTCCCTTCCCCTCCCCACAACAGACACCCTGTGAGGCAGGTGGGGCTGAGAGAGCTCTGACAGAAACTGCTCTTTTTCAAGAACAGCTCTTATCAGAACTACGGCTTGCCCAAGGTCATCCAGCAGGTGCAAGTGGAGGAGTGGGGGAATCAAACCCCGTTCTCCCAGATTAGAGTCCGCGCACTTAACCACTACACCAAACTGTCTCTCAGGGAAATAGTTCCCTCTGACACTGTAGGCTAAAACGTCAAATGAACATAAGCTATTTAAACGATGAAGGTATGTTGTCTGTGTAGCTGGGCATGTAGGACGGTGGTGGTGGTGTGTGGGAAATAATCACAAACTGGCATGATGGCTTCCTACAGACTGCTGGAATAGCAGGAAAACCAGCTATGAGGATGAAGCTCCCATGGCACCTGGTAGTGTGTGGATTGGCTCAGTGTCCCTTCCAGTAAAAGTAATAAACTGGGGGTTTCCCCCTGCATTCGGCTACAGAGAGAGAGAGAGAGAGAGAGAGAGAGAGAGAGAGAGAGAGAGAGAGAGAGAGAGAGGGGAGGAGATGTGATCACCGAGAGAGAGAGAGAGAGAGAGAGAGGAGATTGGATTTCATACCCCATGGCCCTTCACTACGCGAAGGTGTCTCAGAGCGGCTTACAAACTCCTTCCCCTTCCCCTCCCCACAACAGACACCCTGTGAGGTCAGTGGGGCTGAGAGAGCTCTTGACAGAGAGAACAGCTCTTATCAGAACTACGGCTTGCCCAAGGTCATCCAGCCAGGTGCAAGTAAAGGAGTGGGGATCCAAACCCGGTTCTCCCAGATTAGAGTCCGCGCACTTAACCACGACACCAAACTGGCTCTCATGCAAAGTGTTTTCACCCAGTGACTGTGTCAAATGTTCACGAGTTTCATCAATGACTGTAAAACAGACAGGAGATTTCCTCCCCGGCCCTTTAGTAAGCCAGTGTCTGGATCCCATTTCACCAGCGTTTCTTTTCCCGCCCTCAGACCTGTCAGCTCTTCCACTCAACTCAAGAGTACTTGAGAAAACTCTAAAAAAAGAAAGAAAAGCAAAACAGGGAATGGGATCTTTTACAGAAGCCACAGCCACAAAACTGTAGGAACACATCCTCAGCGGTGCATCCAGCAAGCTGCACACCCAGACGCAAGGATGATTTCTGCCTCTGCAAGATAAATCCAAACTGCCCCTTGGATACAGAGCTCTTGCATCGCTTCTAAGAAACAAAAAATGGTTGCAGAACTACAGCAATGAGCAGGGCTATTTTTGGGCAGGAACGCACAGGAACGGAGTTCCGGCTGGCTCCTGAGTTGGCCACACCCAGCAGGAACTCATTAGCATAATAGGCCACACCCAACAGCAGAAACTCATTAGGATTGGCTACATTAGGGGTGTGTGGCCTAACATGCAAAGGAGTTCCTGCTACAAAAAAAGCTCTGGGTTTTGACAACAAACAAGGTAAACGGAATAAGAAGCAAAAGGTGGGTGTGGCTGGATGACACACTTCTGGTAACATGGGGGTGCGGCCTAATATGCTAATGTGCTGTGCTGTCAAGGGTGTGGCCTAATATGCTAGTGAGTGTCTGCTGTTGGGTGTGGCCTATTATGCTAATGCGTTCCTGCTGGGCTTTTTCTACAAAAAAAGCCCTGGCGATGAGTTATCACTGTACGGCTGCTGCAGGAGGGCAGTGATGCTTGCCTATGAAAGGAGGAGGAGAGGCAATGTGGATAAATCATTTCAAGAGTATCAAGAAACTCACATTATCGAAGGAACCCAGAAAAGGAGAGAAAAGGTATCCTTAGATAAAACAACAGAAAATGTGGCTTACCGATGGCGCGCGCCAACGCGATGACAATCTCCTGGCACGTGGTCTCACCTGAGACACCACAGACGACCCGCTGAATTCCATCCACCCAGACCTTCAGCTCCATCACAAAAAGGCCCGAGGATTAGACTGTCTGGAGCATTGCAGCAAGTCCTCTCTGCAGTGAGCTGGAAAGGAAGGAAATACAACGGTAAGTCAGGATGCGGTCCCGGTTTAGTGTTCCACACAGCCCCATAGCTAGGGAATTTGGGGGGAGGGGGCCTCGGGGGTGGGCGCCAGCTAATTAAATCAAAGCACAATGCAGGTGGCATGTCGGGGCACTATGGGGGCGCCCCAGAAGACAGACTAGGGGGCCAGGCCCCGTGGGCCCCACGTCAGCTACGGGCCAGGTTCCACACAGTCTCCCTGGCTTCTGTCTCCTTCAGGACCAAGAATGTTAACTGTCTTGGGATGTTTCTGCCTCTTCTTTCCCTCCCCGTTTCCAAAATCACCCAATAGGTGCCTGATGTGGATGAGGAATAACCTGTCTAGGCCTCATTCAAAACTTGCTGAGCTGCTACAACATTCTCAAGTCAGTTGGACCCCTGCCCCAGAGGCCTGTTCCCCGCCACCAGTGGATCGGGCCCCAGGGGGAACTCCACCCCGATGTGCATGTCGCCCGGAAGTGACGTGGGCACGCCGGGCACGCTGGGGGCGGGGCCACGGTCATCCAAGGGAAAACTCTATGGTTTTCCCTCGGATGGTCGTGGCCCTGCCCCCAGCATGCCCGCGTCACTTCCGGGCGACGTGGATGCGGCACGAGCTCCAGCCGCCAGCCGGGAGTCCCCCGCTGCAGCTGAATGCACACTTGGCAACCCTACTGGAAGGCCCAGATGCAAACGCCACTCATAAAACCTTTCTGGGTAACCGCAAGTCAGTTATGCCGTCCCCTTCAGCCTAACATACCTCACTGGATTGTTGAGGGAGAAAATAGGAGAAGGGAGAGCCATGTGCCTTGCCCTAAGCTCCCTGCAAAAAAAGGCAGCACAAAAAAATGCCGTAAACTGATAGATCTAAGGGGAGTAGCAGAGCGAGCTTGCAGACTGTCACGTTCGGAAACACTTTCTGTTCCATGTCACTTTTAAGAAAGACAAGAAGGGGGACCCACGATACTCGCAGGGGGAGGAACTCCACGTGGAGGAAGAGGGGGAAGCAGCCGCAGGTGAGCCTTCTCCCCCACCACCGGCACCAATGTCGAGGCCCGTGTGGCTCCTAGCCGCCAGGCCCACCAAGCCTTCTCCCCCACCCTCCCGGCACCAACAGTGAGACCCGCGCAGTTCCCAGCCGCTGGACCCACCAAGCCTTCTCCCTCCCCCAGCAAGCGCTCCCCCTCCCCCTGGCGGTGGCCCACCAAGCCTTCTCCCTCCCCCCCGCAGCGGCAAGGGCGAGACAGTTGCCAGGGCGTTCTTTGCGCATGCGCAGGGAACGCTCTTTTACTTTTGGGGGGGTTTTAAGTATCCCCCCATATACTTTTTTCAACTTTTTAGATTTTTCTGCACACCTGGGGACTGCTCCAAGTGTGCAGGAAAATCTCTCTGCCCCCCAAGTGCCCCCGATGTGCGGATTTAGATATCCGCACGGAGGGGCCAACTTGGCTATTAGAGATATAGATAAAAAGAGCTCCAAATAGCTGTGGTTCAGAGGTGCCATCCTGAGTACCAGATAATCTAGATGAGTATTTCAACCCGACATAAACTCACTTTCGAAAGAGACAAGCCTCTAGGAGCAGTTTACAATGTTACTGTAACAGGTGAGTTCCAAGAGGTATGTCTAACTCAAATCTTAGCATAGCCACATATCAGGACAAAATCGTGGTTCTCCATTCCACCACCACCCGCCCAGTTTCCTAGATCTCCCATCCATCTCTCAGTCACTGCATGTTACAGAACACAGATACGACGCGTTACCACAAATAAGCAACTCAGCTAATCACCCGCCACTGGCCTCAAATGTCAGATACTAAAATACACGTTTACCAAGTACGACTTTCCTGCATTTTAAAGCACCCGATTGTCTCAAAGACTGCCCGCACTGAGAGGCATGTATCAAGGAAGATTTAAGGTTTAATGTAGTTCTGTTTCATAACCACTTACTCAGGCACTGCAGTAGCAAACATTACACACCGCCTAGATGTGACCAACCACAGCATGACAGAGCTGGAACGAGACTGGGAAGTATACTCCATTTAAGGTTCTGTGTTGGCCACAAAAGGGTGGAACCGCTCCAAGGGCACCTGTGAAGAACCATTCAACACACACACACACACAAAACAGTGACTAACTTCTGTTTGCTCTTAGCCAACATGCAGGCAGGCAAAGTCTGCAGTCACATGACAAGTCAACTGATACCCGGGGGGGGGGGGGGAACCCACTCAAGTACTACGCCTTGAATCATACCGATACCAAATAAATATGTTTACTTTAGACTCTGTACCATTAATTGGTTGGAATAGGGTTCCTGCAAAGTAGTTAAATGATTAACTAGCTGACAGAGGAGTGAACATAGCTTTTGTTGTTCATTCTTTTCCAAATAGCGCCTGGCTGAAATGGTATGCGGCACACACAACAACGTGATGTAGAAGGCCAATGTGCATAGAGGGGGAGGGGGAGTGAGCTGGACCCCACCCATGACTGACTGGGTCCTGCTCCTCCTCTAAACATTTGCTACACATACAAGTTGTACATGCCTCAGCTCCCTTCACCAATCAGCAGGGGTCATTTCCTGCGGGAGCGCACAGGAGCAGAGCTCCGGCAGTAAGGAGCCCAGGGGGCGGGCACATGCAACAAGCCCCGCCCCCTGCTCCCAGCAGCCCTCAGTCAGAGCAAGAAGCAGCCAGGTAAGTTGCAGAGCCCCCCCCCCCCGGGCCCACTTTCAGGTACAAGCTCTCCCTCCTCCGTGAGGGCAGATCTGCGCGTTCACCCCCAATAGCCAGCAATCCGAACCAGTCCAGTAGAGCCTGAGTGGTGGGTGTTGCCTTCTGACACACTTCCGGTGATGTCAGGGGGTGTGGCATATGTAAATAAGTTATGCTAATAAGTTATGCTAATGAGCTCCTGCACCTCTTTTTCTGTGAAATGACCCCTGCCAATCAGGAACCCATAGGGTTTGAGCCCCTGCATAAAGGTGCTATGCAACATATGTGGTACACACACATATAAGTAGGGCTGGGACCAGCACACTTACTCCCATATCCCTTTAGGCACATTTGTTCTGTGTAAAGTGTGTCGCATGCTGTACAGGTCTTATCAGGAACAGCTTGGGTTTGGTGTAGTGGTTAAGTGCGTGGACTCTAATCTGGGAGAACCGGGTTTGATTCCCCACTCCTCCACTTGCCCCTGGCTGGGTGACCTTGGGCAAGCCGTAGTTCTGATACGAGCTGTCCTTGAAAAAGAGCAGTTTGTGTCAGAGCTCTCTTAGCCCCACCGACCTCACAGGGTGCCTGTTGTGGGGAGGGGAAGGGAAAGGTGTTTGTAAGCCGCTCAGAATCCTTTGGGTAGTGAAGGGCGGGGTATAAATCCAATCTCTTCTTCTTCTTCTTACTATCTGAACTAGGCTGTCAACACGAACACGTTCCTTTTCGTATTCATGTATATGACATGACACATAGGTGATCTTGGGAAACTTGTAGGGAATTCAGCCCCACTTGGACTTTGTTTCATTACTCCTGGCTAGCTTGGCCTAGGTAGGTTGTAACATAACATTAGCTAGATTGGTGATGTGTATGTGTCATAAAAACCAAAACCAAAAGGCAATCTGGTTAAGAAGACCAACAAACAGTGCAAATTAGTTGTTAGGGTTTTTTCTTTCTTTCTAGGAGTGGAAACCGAAATAGAGAAAAACACTACCAAATTTTTCTTTCTATGCACTGGGTGATGTAATTGATGGATCCTTCAGTAGGTAAGGTAAAGGTTCCCTTGCTCGAAAGCCAGTCGAGTCTGACTCTAGGGTTGCGGTGCTAATCTCCGTTTCAAAGCCGAAGAGCCAGCGCTGTCCGAAGACGTTTCCGTGGTCATGTGGCCGGCATGACTAAACACCAAAGCGCACGGAACGCTGTGACCTTCCCACCGAAGTGGTACCTATTTATCTACTTGCAATTTCTTGCTTTCGAACTGCTAGGTTGGGAGGAGCTGGAGCTAGAGACGGGAGCTCACTCCATCATGCGGCAACTCGGGTCTCGAACTGCTGAACTACCGACCTTCCACAGCCTGCAGTTCAGCGTCTTAACCATATAGCATACAGGGCGTCGCCCCCACTAGTTGTGGACACCCCACACAATTGCCCACGGTGCCCCATACGTAAGACTGCACCTCTGAATGATGCACAAGATAGTGGACTTCACTCCATATACTTTTCTACTACAGTAATGCCTACATGTTCTGAAAGAAAACAGTGAGTGCTCTTGTGCTTTGTACAGCAAAGAAAGTAATTAAAATTAGAGCAAACTCTTGGGTCTGAGCCTAGCACATTACTCATCACTAAAATAAAATAAAGGGACCTTGATGAGGCGAAATCCCTCATTTTACAAACTGTCCAAAGTAAATTTATCCTTCTGTTCACTATAATAGGTGCAAAACATTACATGAATAAGAGGATAGGAGCTGAAGGTTGTAAGTTCCATGAAGGGCCTGGATGTGGAGCTGGGCCTGAACAAAACTGGCTTGTGCCCCTACACTGAGTTGATATCCAAATCCTGATCTCAGAGGAAAGAGGTGCGCCTGGGAAGCAGTAAAGCTCACCTGATCCAGGGATAGCATAGGAGTTTCTCACAAAAGGCAATCGGGGAGAGATCCTCTCTTACTTGAAACAGACACCGTGAAGAATGTTTCTAAATGACAGTTATGGGCAGTTCCAAACCGTTGACTATCCATTCAAAAAAGACTGTTGCTTAAAATTAGCGCAAGTTTTGCTTTAAAAAAACTGCCGTTTGACAGGCCAATATTAAATGAGCAAAACCGCTTCACCAGTTAGATGTTCTCCCAAAGGGATTTTGAATTGGGCGTCGTTTAGCCTGGAATGCATCTCTAAATTAATACACCTCACAAGACTGTTAAAAAACTATGTAAAATCTCTTGAACCATTCTCAGCTCACAAACTTCATGCG